TTCAGCACCGTGATTTGCCATTTAATTGATGAAAATTAGAAAATAGTTTACATATACATCAACACTAAATTTTGAAAATTAAAGATCATTTGATACCCAATAGAATATATTTATAGTACAAGGAGAAAAACATGCCATATCTCACTTTTTGAGACGTAAATATTTTATCATGATTAATTGTAAAATCTTAATGACTCAACAGAACAAGCAATTGTTTTTTTCATTTTGTTCCAAAATTTCCGACTAGATGAAATAATAACGATAACTTACTTATTTTACAGTATCAAGTTTAAAAAGAAATTTCCTGGCATGTTTAAGGCTTGAGAAACAGTCCCTTCACCAAGGTGATTGTCATTTCACATATAAACGTTAATAAGAATTCCCCGTGCAAACTTGAAAGCTATTGCAATCATTACGAAAACTAATAATATAGATTCAGCTTATAAATTACATACCAAAATATTTCATCCATACCCAAAACATTGTGTAAACACATTGATAGAAATTTCAACAATATACGGTTGAATATACATTTTCTCCTCACATACTTTCTGCTGACTATGTAGAGAAAAATGGTGATCTTTGCTCCAACTATTATTACAGAAATCTCACATTCCTTTTTAAGAAAACTATTTACTACAAGCATTCAGCTATCTTCCCAAATAATCAATCTACTTAAAAGAAACACAAATTTAGACGATTTTGGCAAATTTCTAAAAGACCAGACATGAAACAAAAACTTAATAAACTAACTTGATTCCTCAAAACCAAATTAGACAACAGATTTACTAACAACCAAAAAAATTTATCCTTCCTCACATCACATATTAACATCAACACAGAGATTAAAATGAAATAAACAAAATATTCATTCCCTATCGTATGGATCAAATATAACAATTTCATATCTCAAAAAAGGAACATTAATTGCTAATAATCTTGAATCGGTGTTATACCCCAATTCGTCAGTGAACATAATCTACAACCAAAACTAGAGTTGCTACAATAGTACGTACTTTTTTGCATAACTGCAAATAGTTTAGTAATATTGAAGTATATAATTGTTGTTAGTGTGATACAAATTAAAATTTCTGCCATACTAAAAACTCTTTTGCAACTTGAAAAAATCAAATTCAGACAAATCTCTTAGGGTGCATCTCTGCATTTATTTCTGTATCCAAGAACAGTTGTCCTTTTTAACAATTACAAATGAAACAAACGTGAATAAATATAATTGTTACATTATTTGCTGCACATTATACAGCGAAGAGAATAATATTTCACAAAAACATGAGTTGATTACTTCGAATTGACTTGACAATTTTTGATTTCCATCAGCAGCAATCAACACTTCGTAAAAAAAAGGAACATATTTGGAACTTCTAGGTTAAATATTTTACCATAAATTTACTAGTTATCGTACGAATTTTGTCTTTATCATACGATCATCACGACCAGCAACAATGAGAAGCACTGGAATATAATTTGCTGTGCCTTATTGCAATTTTGCGAACTGATATCGCGTCAAACGAAGCACGCGAAATTTCAATTTAAGATTTCGATTTGTTTCCTAATTTACAAAAATACAGGCCGCGCCAAAATGGGACCTGAGCCAAGTCAAAGAATGCTACATACGTGAAAGAAATTTAAAAAACGTTTGAATCCTTTTGTGGGGAAAAATCATAGAAAAATACTCATATTTTTTTAAAAATGAACATAACCTTATTTGAAGATCTGTTTCTAATGAACACATTTCATTTAAAAAATTTATCTTCATAATTGTAGTTGAATGAAGTCGCCAAAAAGATTTGAATACTTGCAATTTTCGAAAAGTTCAATAAAAATATTTACCTTTAAGCGTGGTGTCAACTTTTGGTTATTTTGGACCTTTTTGGTGGAAATGGTGCCCAATTTTTGAAACTTTTGAATATACCCCAGTGGCTTTTCGTAATGTACCCCCTAAAATTAAAATATTTGTTTCAAACTCAAGTGGTCGCGACATCAGCGAGATCAATTGTGGAATATATTTTTTCGTGAAAATCCAATTTACAATTTAGCTGCTAGCGTTGTTTACTGACTGACAGACAGTCAGACGGACATATGTTTTTCCGTCAATCGATTTTTCGGTATCAATTACCCCTAAAACGGCTTCTGACTACACAACGATTTGGAGGTAGTAATTTACCACATATAGGACCACGATTTGTTAAATTTTACTTTCTCGCCTTTACTTCTTAAGAAGATAAAATATTGCAATTGTATACCGGAAAATGCCGAATTTTTGACAGAAAAACTCTTATTATTGGGCCCTGGTAACAAAGAAGTGGATAAATCACATTCTTACCTCTCACAGTTCTGAGAACGTTCACCGGGTATTCTCTCGCATGTTGGTCATATGTTCCATCGTATGGCATGTTTCCTCCTCTTTCATGATCACCAGATAGCGCCATGCATAATCCCAGATGTTTCCCAAAATGTTTCCTCAAATTGTCTTTTAAGTACTCTCCCAAAAGTTCTCCTAAACGTTCTTCCAAAATTGCTTCACATTGGAATACAACTTTCAGCGTTTCTTCCAATCCCTCCTACGAAGTAACGGAACCATAAAATATCTAACAGAACGTCAAAAGAGGTCATCAAGTTGATTTTCCTCGTGTTCATTTCGGTAGAGAAAGCATAACTTCTGCCCAGAACACAAAAACTTTTTTTAAAGCTCATACATAAATAACTATTGATGCAACTCCGGAGGTAATTTCCTAATCAGCAGTAACACATTTACGGGCTTTCGTGCCTATGATTTCTTATAAAGAGGGGAAATGCGACATATTTCGTTCGCGTATTATGTAGAAAGAGAATTGTCAGCCCCCAATGAAAAACTCAATGCATCTGTTACCTTCAGTGTAAGTTTAAAAAAATTCATAACATTTATTTACGTTGATCTATACACATTATACACTAAATTAGTACAAAGCACAAATACGAACATGTACGAAGTACAAACGCCTGGTTTGAGGCAGCTATTAAAACTGCTTACGATTTCGACTTCATTCTTCCCCTTTAAAGCCACAAATATGATTGATATGTATTGATTTGCAGCTCGTTCATTCTTTTTTTGTACTGTGTGTGGAGAGATTTGTCTCTCCACAACTTCTTTAACCTTTTTTGTGTCTCACGTTTCATGGTAAGTAGCATTGGAAGTTCAGTGTCTCTGTTAATCTGTGTGCTTGGTATAGTGTTGTTCGCAATGCCTCTTCCTACGCTTACATTGCCTCGGTTTTCCATTCTTCGGTCAGATTTTATGGTCTGCCTCATTAGTGTGTCATCTTGATGGCTAACTACATCTTTTTCCTTTTGTCCTTACGTGATTGCGATTTAATCGCAACGATGCACCTCTGCTTATTATTACTAATTACTATTATTATTGTTATTATTATTATTGGAAGTATTACCTACCCTTTTTGGGCGGGAAATGAAAAAGTTTCTCTTGTTAAAGACAGAAACTTAGTAAAGTAGATAGTTTTAGTAGAGGTATACAGAGGAGTCACATTGTACTGTTTTACTGATGATGTTTTATAAACAACAAGTGTTACAAAGAGCCCATTTGGTAAAGGAATTAAATCATAGTATTTTTTTTTATTTTCTATCACAAAACTGTGACAAGGATGAAACTGAAAAGAAAATTCAGCGGGGGCTCCACGTAATTCAATAATATTAATAATGTATATTCAGGTTCTTTTCAGCTTTTGTTTTAAAAAATTTGCATTTGTTTCTATTAAAAGCGAAATGAGTTTGTGTAATATCGGGGAAATTGCATAAACGAAAACTCTTTTAATACAGTATTGTCTCTCTCGACGATAATAGCGAATTTCCATGAAATAACTTCATCTGAAAATAATATGGCGTATATCCCTATGGGCTACCAGTACTTGAGGGCATATGTAATTTATTTTAATACGTCAATGGTAGAGTATTTTTCCCGCAGCATGGAACGAATAAATGTACAAGTACAGCAATAATGCTGTACAGAGATTTTTCCTTCTTTCTCATCAAAAAGAGACCACAAAGACAAGAAAAAAATAAAAAGCAATAAATAAATTGTTGACGAATGTGAAAAATATAAATTCATTGTATCTTGGAATCATGAAATAAAATTCAGCTGAATTACTTTCGCAGTAAAAGAAAATTAAAAATATCTTTCAATTATAATCTTGTTTTCGCCTGACCCTAAGAACAAAGATGCCCGCACATTTTTCCGTAAATTCACAAAAACGTATAAGAATGTCTAACATAAAAACAATAAACGCGTTTCCAAGCGTGTTGTTCAAAGATTACAAAATATGAAGCGCGGTCTCCGGGCGCTGTTGACATTCAAAACGACACGCTCGCGCAAACAGAGTTTCTAGCCGCCTAATTCGAACGCGACCCGGTTTGCGCAGTGAAATTGGCGTGGTTTATTTGCAGCGCGCCCATGTTCGCGGAGGCGGCGCGGCGCGGCGGGGGGCGGCCTGAGCGTCGAGACGGACGGGGAAGGCAGCGTAGGAGATGGAGACCGCGAGATGCTGTGGCATGGGAGAGAGGAGAGTGGAGGGAGTAGAATGAGAAGATGGTGAGGGTGGAAGAGATGGCAGGGAGAAGAGGAAAGCGGGTTCAAGCGGCGAGGAGGAAACGGTGGTAGGGATAGCAGCGGGAGGCGGTGGAACGATTATGAATGGAGGTTGACGGGAAACGTGTGGTAGGGAGGGTCACAGGGCGAGAGAACGTAAAGGCGCCGGAGACGACGACGAAGAAGAAGTGGAACTGGCGAGAAGAAAGTGGTATGAAAGGGTGACGAGGGAAAGACGGAGAAGGCAGGATGTGGAGACCGCCAGACAGCGGTGGAAAAGTTCGGGAACGGGTACGGCAGAGGACGAGACCAGCGAGAGATGGAGACCTAAGTGGTGCGGAAGAGGAACAAGAAATGGGATCGCAGCGGAGGTGACTTGAACGGCGCTAAGGAGAATGCAATGGAACGGGAGACAAGAGAGTGCAAGGAGGCGGGAGGCGAGAAGAAGGCAGTGGAGGTGGGAAAGTTAGGGAGAGAACGTAAAGAGGAAGACGAGACGGCAGAGAGTGGAGACGGATATGTGACGGGAAGTGAGAAGAGAGAGTCGGCGAGAGGTGGAGGCCTGAGGGAAGGAAAAGGTGGAAGAAATAGAAACTTAGGGAGGCGGAGACCGCTAAAATGACGGGGTCGTCATTCTAGTTGTTGGAAGTTGGGGTCGTCATGGAGGCAGAGCGGAAGCGAGGGGGAAAAGACGGCAGGAGGGAAGGGGACATGTGGGAGCGACGGTAGGCTAGACGGTAGGCATGACGGTAGGCTAGGAGGAGGACACGACGTGAGATGGAGACCAAAACCGCGACAATGAGGCGAATGGGGTCACAGGGAGGACGGTGCGGGGGTGGAGCGAGGTCGGAGCGGGGTCGGACGGAGCGGGGTCGAAGCAGGCGGACGGACGAGCGGGGACGGAACGGGGACGGAGCGGAGCGGGGGCCGAGCGGTGTCGGATCGGGGTCGGAGCGGGGTCGGGAGCGGGACGAAGCGGGGACGGAGCAGGACGGAGCGGAGCGGGGCCCGAGGGGGCGAGCGGGGGCGGAGCGGGGGGCGGAGCGGGGCGGGCGGGAGCGGGGGCGGAGCGGACGCGGCGGAAGCGGGCGGCGGAGCGTAGGGCGGAGCGGGGGCGGAGCGGAGGCGGAGCGGCGGGCGGAGCGGGGGCGGAGCGGGGGCGGAGAGGGCGCGCGCTTAAGAGGTAGGCGGAGACGGAAAGGGCGACAAGCCGGGGAGGGTGTAGTTCCTGAGGGCGCAGCCTAATTTTATTAAATTCCAATTGTCTCGAGACAGAGACAACCGCGCGGGCGCCACACCCGTATCCCGTTGATTTGCTTACCGTCGGGCGGAATTTGTTGTATCCGCAGGCGAAGGAGCCGCGCGCGGGCTAAGAGCCTCATGACTTAATAACGGCGCCTCGGCGGCGCGCGCGCCTCTTCGAATGCCCGCCACGCCCCCCCCTTCCCCCTCCTCCGCTCTTCCACGCTCCCTGCCTCGCCGCCTCTCGGATGGAAGCGGCGGGCTTATTGCATGCAACTACGCAAGGTTCCATGTGTGGCTCTGGGTTTCTCTGTGAATCCTTAAAAGTCAAGTGTCTGAAATCATTAACTATTTAAGTACACTGAAATGCGTATATATCTATTTCAAGGGTATGTTTAATATACCCTTGAAATAGAGATAGTTAACATTTTTCTAATGCTCTTCAAAAATAATATTGAGGTGATAAATCCTCTTAAAAGGAGAAAAAGAGGTCTTAACTTGTAGTGGTACATATGTGCTTACACGTGTCTACTAATATAAATTTGTACGACGAAACTGTAGGGAGTTTACAAATAATTATTAAATTGGTTATCTGTGCCATCAAATATTTCAATATCATGTAAGTTAAATACTTTCTCCCTTATAGTTGTAGAGGTATGTTATAAAAACCTGTAAAGTTTTGTCCTGATACTAACAGCAATTAGGCGAATCAAGTCATGTCAAGGTGAAAACCAATTTTCTTCAAAATGATTTGTTTTTCTTACGAAAAGATAAATAAATGGAAAACCTTAAACGCAGTGTGTATATTGGAATTTTCAAATGGAAATATATTACATAATCAAAAGACGTCTTTATTTCATGTATTAGCATCAGTTAATGATTTCTTGGTTTGCAAACTTCGTTTGATTCATCAAAGATACGAACGATAATAAATAAGTAGTATCATAATGACCATTATTATAAGATGTGCTGCAGCCACACAATAGGAATAATTCTCAGCGAGAGACAAAAATATGGTCGTAAAGAAGCGAAAACTCAATGAAATGGAAGTGCATATTTTTAAGTAAAGCGACGGCCGTCATTCAGAAATTAGAGTACTTAAATCACCCGTTTCACACTTTCATATACGTATTCTATTTAATGCAGGAAATATTTGATATTTTGATGGAAATGATTGTGTTGTGGGTTTATCCCGAAAAACTGTTGTGGGTTTTTCCTTTTAACGTCTATCTGTCTGCGCACAACATTTATATCAACAATCCACGTTCAATACAAATTACATTAAGGTTCTGTGAATTTCAAATGTATTTTATAAATCTGAGAGGATTTTTTTCGATCAAAATATATTTTAAAAATGTAAAAAATGGTATTTTTTAAAAACAAATATTACAATGACAAGCGGCGAAGGAGAGCGAGAATAAATGAAATTTTTAGTCATCCATATTTATAGTGCACTTGGGCTAATCAACCAAGAAATTTAAACACAAAACATTGATAATGTTTGAGAGAAAATGTTGAAACTTAAAAACTCATGAATATGGACCTAGCGGCGAACATGAGAGTAAAAAAGTTCTGTGACTTCTGCTACTGCTGGTAGCGTTAGCCGCTCGAGTGATGACAAATTCAAAAATTTGAGACACTTTGGCCATGTTGGGATGTGCAATGGACATCCAAAATCCAAGCGTCGAAACAACGATAATAACTAACCTGAACCACGCAAATCCAAAATTTCGGATAATCCAAACAAATTTAGTAATAGAGGAAAAAATAAACAAATAAATAAAATGCATATTTGTAGTGCAAAGAAAGGGTTTTATAATTACTGTAGAATTGAACAACTGCTTATTGAAACACTAGTTGTCGTAATGAAATGTTTGTTGAACTAGTAACTACGGTGTATATCACATGTTTATATGGCAGTAATTATCACTTAGAGGAACTTTCAAATAATTGATAATCTTCTTTTGCCGTAAGGAACTCAATCTTTGTTATGATGCTACGCCACGCTGCTATTTCCCCCCATTACTTGCTACGAATACAATGGATTGTGTCTCGTAATCCTACAAATGTGTGTTTAGATTTTCGAAAATGTTCGGAATATGTGAAAAAATGTACCATATACATACACACACACACACTTATATATATATACATACATACATATACGTATACCACACCCCAATTAGTTCAGAATACAGGGGTGTTTCTATTGCATTTCTATTTTAACACTACGTAGAATCGTGTCTTTGTGAACGTAGTATGCGTGACAGTTGGCTGAGGAATGCCCTGTTGTTGGGGCTGCCCAAGCATCCTGAGCCCGGCGCCAATCACGGCCACCCCGTCGCCCACCCCCTCCACCCCCTCCCTTCGCCCGCGCTCCTCTAAGTGGACGGGCGGGCGGAGCGGCCGGCCGAATATTTCAGGACCGGGTCATCGCCCTTTTGTCTGCATCCTGTCTGGCGGCGTGGATTGCTCGATGGCCCAACCTCAAAGAACGCGGCTGGCAAAGGTTGAATTTAAAATGAAGTTGTGTCAGACCCAGGGAAAGGAATGTGAGGTGAAAACTATGGTCGTGAAAGGGAAAAAAGGTTCTGAAAATACATACAAAAAAGGTGCAAAAAAGTGGTGCTGAAACAACTGTGTTAAGTTTTAAACCAGCTACATGAACGCAGTTCACAGAATATACGTTTCATTTTGCACCAATTTTTTTTCTTCTTTATAGAGTCCGTAAGAGGTCCGTAAGATTCATGGTACTTTATCCAACACTTAACAATTGCCAGTACTGGCGGAACTATTTTTTTCCCGCGGATCGCATATTAGAACGTACTTCACAAGCACGTCAAATCACCTGCACGAGCACTTGTCTGCGTGGAAGCCACGGCGCTGTTGCTGGCTCAGGCAACTTCCCCTGACTTCCCTCTCTTCTCTTCTTTAAATCCAAAAGCATTGCCAGCGCTCTTTTAGTGTTGGCGGCGACACGATGGCAATGGCAAACATGTTCCTCTGGTTACAGACGAGTGGATTTCTGCACACCCACTTAAATGTTTTGTGTTTGCCTGTCTATGCAGCACTCTTTATCCAGCGGGAAAGGGTTAAACTGTTCCAGCAACGCTGTTGAAATTTAAATTTGTCTTTACAGCTGCAGATTGACTATTGTAGCAGGGATATAAATTACTGTTGGCTGACTTTTGATTAAGTGCAATTTTGAAAAGCTGTTCAAGAGTAGAGAAACTACTTTTTTGTTCAATTGTTTAAAAACGCAGAAAAGAGTGGAGGAAAGGTGCTGAAGCATAAAAAAGAGGGAAAAGGTGATAAAATTTAGTAATCTCACAAAAGGGTGCAAAAAGGTGAAGCAAATTGTGTTTATTTTACTTCATTTCATCCCCCCAAACATACGTATATTGAACTATCTGTACAAAAACAGCTATATTTTGAGAAGGTGCCGCACCTTAAAACCCTTTCTTAGTCACAGCATATGATTCTACATAGGTACAAACGAACGTTTTCTCGATTTCATTACAAGTGTTTTGCAGCAAGCGCCCGATGACTGTTTCCGCTTTTTAGCTATGACTACAGCCCGATTTACACCATACAATTTCCATTAATTTTTGTTTGATTCAAAAAGGAACACAGAAGTGTGTTCACATTGCAGATTCATTAAGAATGCTACATATTTCTGGGGCACCTAGGGGGCTAAAACATTATTTGCCAATGAACAGGTGGTGCGAAATCTTATAACTAGGTAACAGAATGTATTTTAATAGAAAACGCAAAATATGTTCATCTATACGTATTTACATTTTTACATATATGTAAGAAAAACTATAAAATATGCAAAATAAAAATGCATTATAGTTTTATTACTCATATTCAAGTTCTAGAGCAGACGGTTGCGAATTTTTGACACTATCTAAATTGCTGGATCGAATTCAACCACTGTCTCGTAGAGAATTCTAGCGGCCGACTTTCATTGGCCGCTTGCCGATCAATTCCAGGCGAATGCGGGAGCAGTACCACAACAATCAGGTCTCGGAACGTGCACAATATTTCCTTCCGCATACTTGTCCCCTCCTTCCCCCTTGCACTACACTAACGGGATGAGTGACCTAAGTAGTTGGACTTGCTCATAGTCTATACTCTTCCAACATTATAACTGAACTCAAGTTTATCGAAAACATTTGCCACAGATTGATCGCTAAAAGAGAATTCCCATTGGGTTCCAGCGGAGGTGGGTGGGGGGATGATCATGAATATGTTCCGAATTTGGCATCCCTGACCCGGGAGTGCATATATCACGGTGGGATGCTGGAAGCACGATATGATAGTGGTCTGTAAGAGATATGTCAGATTTCTATCGAGTTATGTTTGGGATCTCTGAAAATTGAGCAAGCATGTGGTTGCGATTATTTCTGATTTGCAAATATTCGTTCTTCCTTGATTCAGAGTACGCTATTTTCCAGAAGCGGGGAGTAAGTTTGATAATTCACGGCATAGGTCCGGATGTCTTAGAATCACAGTATTACTTTGCTTTTTTTCATAAAAAGACGATTTATTTGCAGACTCTAATTTGAAATATTCTGCTTAGACATTTAAAATGTATTAAAATGTTATCAAATGTGTAAGAAATATGTAGCAATAGGTAAAAATATGTAAATAAAAATGATTTCAATTCATTCAGAATGTGATGAAAACTCCAACAATATTATTGAAAGCCGCTATCTACCATCAGTAAAATATAACAGAAATGCACTTTCTGTCACAGAGCTGTCCAATACGGTATAGTTCACATGCATTTTATTTTGCGTTTTGTTAGAAATATACAGATGTATTTCGTGATATGGTTGTCAATTTTAAGAGTATTGACCTGGATGAGACAGCAGTGCTTTTGACCGTAAAATAATCTACCAGTAACTTACACATTAAACAGTAATCTAACCTTCTTTTAAAGACGTTTCTCTTTAAAGGGGCCGAGTAATGGCACCCCTACATTTTGTTTCTCGAATCTCAAGTAATTTGTGAATCATATTTGTTTAACGAACACATATGCGCACGATAATTTGTGAATAATATTTGTTTAACCCAGAGACGAACCTTTTAATTTTTGTATATATTTATCAACGTTTAAGAATTATAATCGTTGACGAACATCAGCTGTTGTTGTCAACTGTAGTGATTAAATCCGTATACATTATTTGAGTAACTGGAAGTGTGCGTGTGTGATTGTGTGTGTGCGCGCGCAGATCCGTCACACCACGGTTAGACCACTTCCCAATCAAGACATATGAGGTGTCATTTGACGCGTCTCGGTCTCCTGGTGGGAATTGATAATTGGTTTTCGGTTCCAAACAGAATATTCTAAGAAATTTCTAAAAACATTTTTTGCATATTTGAGCGTTGCGATCTTAGTGGGTAGACAGAAAATTAAACCACCTCCACCTCAATAGATCTATTTAGGTGAAGTTGATTACACTCCAGAAATATTCGGTCTACGACGCCATAATTGTCTTCTACGAAAATGGTAACACATGAATGTTCTGGAACGTGTCAAACACCAAAGAGCATAAGACGGCAGAACTTTCAATAGTGTTGCTGCTTTGAGCTTCAGAAGTGAAGTATTTCGTCCGTATTACGGTATTTTTAATAATAAATGTGCAAACACGTGCGTACATTAGCTTGGAATTTATTAAATTTCAAGAACCCGAAGTGAATTTGAGGAAAACCAGAACTGTGAGTAATGTTGAAGAATGAAATCACATGCTTATTCAGTTTTTCAGCGGGCAATTGGTTGTGACTTTCCATATTTATGCATATATGAACTGCTTTACTACGAAAATATTTGTGATACTAGTTGATATGCGAACAGAATTGTAGCTTCTGAATAGGTGCACGAGATTCGCTGTTATAGGTCATCCAACGGCCATTAGCTAATCTAATATTCAAATTTGCATATGCATGCTTTATCTGTGACTGCTTTTGTGGTATTTCTCTGCAGGGAGTTGTTGGGGACCTGAAAGTCTCCAAATGGGATGCGTTTGATATAGTTAAGTAGGATCTTTCCGTGTGCTGTTCCATTCGCACATATCACTATCGCTGACATTGTGTGTTGTAGCCAACAAGTAGCTGATGGAAGTCAACGTGTTATCCGTTTGTGTCCATGTTTGAGCAAATCGACTCACAGGAAATGAAAATTCAATGAAGCTCGACAGTTTGAACATGGTTACGAATTGCCTAATGTTCAAAGCTCATTCATTTCCCTGATTTCGAAGTCACGTAAATGATTCTTTGATGTTCAATAATTGCTAGAGTCTGCCGCAAGTTCGCATAATTCCATTCCGTTGCTGTTGTATTTTGAGTATATGAACTGGGAGACTGGGAGGAAGACGTCATTGCATTATGATGATTCAGTTTCAAACGATTTACATTCATTTATTCTTTTCAATAAACATTTCCATAACACATCCGTTTAAAAAAAAACAGATAGTCAGTCGGGAAACAAATACTTCCTAGCTTCTTCATTTCGCGCTGTAAAATTAACCATCAGCATTAATTCTAAATTGGTGATGACGCAGAAACCAATAAAATCACTGACTTACGTAGTACTCTTACCTCCTGTTCATTTAATAAATGTCGGTATATTTATAGGTTTTTTTTCTTTATTCGAGTAGCCCCAACGACGAGCCACAAATCAGAGCGTGTACACCGTAAACCTAATCTCCGATGCTCGTCGGCCATTTTGTGGGATTTTGTGGTAGGCCAGGAGGACAGGTGATCGGGTCATCGCTTCGTCCTAAAGATGGAAAATAAGGGCCGGATCGCGCTCTGCCAGTGGCTCGAATTCTAGGGCTCTTCTCCGAAATTCACTTGGCAACGAACAGGAAATCGCGGAAACCGCTGATCAACACGGCCGATGACTTCGTCACCGACGGGCGTCACAAACGCCTCGATGTGAAACGTGTGACGTAAATTTGCAGCAACGAGCGCGGGGATCCAATCCGCTATTTCCCAATAACTGGTACTTAACGTTTGCCACTACCGGTATTGGTTTAATAATATACTGTGTGAATCACGTAAATTTAGCACACCTGTAGTTTTTGAACTGTTGAAGTTATTGCAATGCAATTTTCATGGACGTGCATCCGCGAATGGGGCTAATTGATACATGTATTCATTTCTATTTTCTCACTTGTAGTTTACGCGATATTGAGGTAACTTTGTTGGTCTTTTTTAATATATATGCATATATATATATATATATATATATATATATATATATATATATATATATATATATATATATCTACTATGCCGAATGTAAAAATACGAATCCAATTATATACACATGGTCGTACGTTAGATAAGCATTTTTTTAGTGATTTTGATGTTTTGTGCTCATTTTTCCTGTTCCAAGCGCGCATTTGCAGGGGTTGCGCTCAATGACCTTGTGTGGTGGACAGTTACGTTCATAATATCCGTTAAACATGACTCTCAACCGTTCAAAAACTGCAGGAGGTGCGTGAAACACTCTGTGTAGTACATGTATACTATTACGTAAGTAAATGTATATTGTTTAATTAAGTGTTATTACGACCCTTGTAATGACTATCGTGCCTCTCTGTGGATTGAAAAGAAATAGGCTTTTCTGTTATTGTCTAATATGTGTTTGTAAACTCGATGAACATGTGTTTGCTCCGACATAACTCTTCGTACCTTTGGTACGAATTCAACGAAATGTTGCACGTCACGTTTGTGCGACCGAGAAAGACCATGGGAGGATCGCGACTCTGCAAAATATGTGTGCATTTAGGGATTGCGTTGCAGCGGTCCGGCCGGATAGGAGCACGATTGGATTTTATTTATTTATTTATGTCAAAAACATTTACAAATTGTGTGTGCCGTGCTACGGGGGGAAGTTAAATTGAAGTTACATTTATGTCCAGACGCAAAACAAGGAACTATCTCAGCATTTGATCAAGGATCAGGGAATCTGGACAAAAACCAGATCGAGATGGGGGTCATTGACCCAGAAGCTGAAGTACAATACTTGTTTCAAGTACATTACAGGACAGATATTTGTTACATTATAGGATCAAGGCCGGGCTAGGCACACAGTGATACTGGATTCGGAATCGATACTGGAAGAGGCTGATCGATAAATTGTTTCCCGGCACTTCAACTGCTGCGGTCGTTAACAGTCAAAATCAGTCATTGCTCCTGTTAGTGTAGTGAATGTTTTATCCCAAGGGGTGGCATTGATTCCTTACTCATTGGATGGTGAGATCACCTGATCCGGGACCGACCTACACATGGCTTGTTAGGAATTTCCCCCATCAGGTATCTCCTCCCGGCAACTCGGGGCAAGCTCTAAGCTCCTACGTGGTGGTGTAGTGCAGGAAAGTGTGTGTTTGTAAGGGACATAGGACAAGGAAGAGGAAGGAAAGATTGCGCGCTCTCCGTGGCCCGTTTGTAAGAGTACTGCTCCGGCATCCTGCGGGTGTTGATCAGAGAAACCACGGACAACTACCGATCACAGCAGCCGCCGAAGGAATCGTCCTTCAGATAGCGGCTGAATTCGACCTTACCATGTAGCAAGTGTCGAGAATCCTCCGCCATGTGGACTCGAAACCCATGACCTCCCATTTATAGTTACTTCAGAGAGAGCGACAATGGATGCGAGATAAACTCAGGTGGAGGATGAGCACAGTATGTTAGTCGGGTTGAAGGCAGGGAGGAGCAATGAAGGCGGGACTAGGAGAGGATTGTGAGATGAGAATTAAATAAAATTACTTCAATTCTGTAGCAGACCGAATTCATTCCGTTTTCTGCCTAATAAATAAATGTAATAAACATATTCCCGGCAAATGTCCGTTTATTGAAATCTTGTATTAAAAAATATATATGGATATGTGTGTATACATGTGAATATTTCTCAAAAACGTTTCAACTACTACTGAAAAAATTGCTCTCAAATTTTGCAGGAACAATTCTGGGCAACCAAGAAGAAAAATTTGCGGTCATAAATGTTCTGTGCGGTCTAAATCAATGCTTCTGAATGGCTTTCAATAAAATTTGTCGGTTTATAACAATACTCTAAGGCTCTTCTAGCGAAAATACTACAGCGCCAATTCGCATTAATAAACATTGTCTTTTGTGAAATGAAAGCTCAATAACTCAGCTAATATTGAAAGCTAATATTGACGCTATTATGCAACCATGTTACTGACCCGTTTCTACTCGTAAAGCCAGCTCGTAAAGCATTTCCGATTTGTATTGCTGTAAAACAAAAGGTAAAGTTCTTTCTGAAATTAATAGTAGCCTATATTTTTCGTAATTAAATTTATTTTCTGAAATTAAGCTTATTTTGGTGCTGGTTCGCACCAGTTGGTAGTTTTTAATATTTTACCCAATTTTATATTAGTTTGGACAAGTGTGAGGTTTCAGTGGAAACTACATTTAGTTGCCTTCATCAAGTCATTTTTAATTCGTGAACGTTGGACAGTTGAACATTTAGAGACGTTCATAAAAACAAGATGTGAAAACCATTGTTTGGCACTAGTTAGGAAAGGTATACTAATTGCCCATTGAATATCACGAAACAAACTCAGTATTGGAGCCTAAGCTTATTGAGAAAAGAAGCATTTACCCCAGGTGGGAATAAAAATATCAGAAAATTAGTTTTATATTGAGGAGGGGGTTAAGAGGGAAAGAATGCATCTAGTTCACTCTGCACCAACCAACCCGTAATAAAAAACGCCAACTATTTCCGAACGGGATTTTTTATTGCAGACGAACGTAGTGGTAACTAGAGAACACAAAACATAACTAGTGATGTTAGAACCACACATTTTTTTCGCATTATTTCTCGCGATTTTTCCAAATCCGCGATTTTGAAAAATTCAATGAGTTCAATGAAAATTAGACCTACGCCAAGCTTTCTTTGTTCAATCCATGGGGAGGGGTTCAATAAAAACAAATGATTGCAATAAATTCAAGCAGAAGTTGTGCGAAAGTATTATTTTTTTCATTCTACATTAGAAATTTTAAATTTCTAATATTTTAGAATGGAAAAATCAATATCGTCTTTTTGCAATGCTATATTTTTCAATTTTCGTAAATAAAGAGAATTTACAGAAAACGGACCCAGAACAAATTCTTTTACCGCTCTTCGCTACATAAGTAGAAGAAATTATAAGAAAAATATTAGACCTGTTTTTTAGAAAATAATTGTTTAAAAATTGCGTATATTTCACGCAATATTACGCTAAAACGACATATGTTTTTGAAAAATTGCGCATGACATTTTTTCAAGAGCTGTCTTTAAAGAAAATATTTTATTACGGAAAAATCTCTACGTTTAAAATTGTTTTCGTAATACAGGAAGAAGTCGAAAAATTTTAAAATTTTGTAGTTTTCGACAATTCTGAGATTTTAACAAAATTGAGATCTGCGCCAATTTTTAAAGCGTTTTTTATGGTATTCGAGAGCAAAATTTAATTAAAAACTAGTAATAGTGTTAAGTGCAAAACAATTACTTTGCATGGGGCAAATACTGATGATAGGGAACACTGCCGCTAATACGATTCAAAGAATATTCTCCAAAATTGTTATTCCTTGATTGCAGAGGACATATTCAAGATCCTGCGAATTCAAAATTATATTTTTTAATTATAAGGTACCTTTACAAGCTCTTTTAATTTTAAGAACCCCTTATATTTTTCAACCTATACTCAAAATTGTCTCCACATTTTGTTAATTAATTAACCAATTGCTCAAAAGAGAAAAGTTATCACAAAAATCCGATTTTTAGTAAAACTTTTAAGTTTTTAAAAATTGCTGTAGTTCATACCATCTGCTTCTACAGCTTCAATATTGAATACATAAAAAATATATAATAAAAATACTTAGTGAACGATAATACTGTTTATTAATGGGATATGGAGAAAGTACTGAAATTTTGGTCATTAGCTGATGTAAAACTAGAAACCTCACTCGTATTCTTAGTTGCCTTAATTATAATATCATTTACTGCAATCTCCATGATTCCGGAAACACGAAATAATCGACAATCAACCCCCCGGTGGAAGATTCCTGCATAGCCCCTGTAACAAAGGAAGAACACCGCCCTCCCGTGAAACAAACTGCGCTACAGTTACGTTAGTAATGACCAATGGCGGATCCCAAAAAAAGCCTAGAGTTATCGTTTGTTACCTACCTTTATTTGGCAAACCTGATTTAAATATTTATTTGTGTTAGAATTATGTAATAATTTAAAAAATAATGTTGTATAGTATCATATATTCAAAATTAATATACAATATTATAAAATATATGTTAATTATTTAACAAAAATATTTTATGCCTCGCCCTCCGCCCCAAATGATGGGATGGATCCGCCCCAGATAATGACCATGGACGTTGACGCGCTCAGCAACACGAAATAACCAATCAATCTTGGTCTGGTAGGAAACTATGTAACGGAAAACTGGATCTCTACACCCAGAACAAGCATACCAGAGATGGGGTAAGGGATTTCATGGGCAAATAAATATGTAGTAGTTTGGGATCGAGCAGGTCTAAGCGTTGTTCGGGGAGCGAAGAGGTGCTCTTCAAAGGAAGTGTCCCCTGAAGAGCGATAAGTACTGCACGGTGGTGGGGGAGACGGGCAGTAGCTGGCTTTTCTTAGAGAGTCAGAAATGATATTCAATGAAAATATCCTTTCACAATTATGGTTTCAATAATACATGATCTTCAAAAAGAAATGTAAAATTAGTTTGAATTAGTAATGAAAAATTGCATTAATTGCATATACAATATTGTGTCTGTATTGTAACACAATATTTTATTGGCAGTTTTGTTACTATTATTATTATAGTATATTTTATTGGCATTAAAATATATGTTTACAGAGCCAAAACACACATTGATAAAATAAAATGAAAAAGAACATGACAATTGTGAAAATAAACAAAACAATGAATTTCATAGTGATAAGAAGATAAGAAGAAATGAACAAAAAATGTTTGCATATAAAGTGTAAGTAACAACGATGTAATTTTTTTTGTTTATTTTTAAAATAAAATCGTCAATAATAATTCTGTCTAAACCCGGTTAGCAATGAACAAATAAAAAAAGGACCATACTTACAATATTTGCGCCACCTGAATAACATTTCTTTCCTTTCTCTATCAAAAAAATTGCATTGCCAAAAGACATGCTCAATAGATTTAGAACTTTATCCACATTCTCAAATTTCATTGCTAACAATTTCATGTCTATTTAACTGCCGTTTTGTCTCTAGTTCATGTAGTCACTCTTCCACCATCTGTTGGCAGTGTGTCAAAGCGTTTCAACACATTAGTGAGACCACTCTAGTGGTCTATAAGTATACTAAACGTATCTTTTTAAAATACTCCATAGATGTCGCTAGTATTCACTGTTTTGGGACTGTATGCTTATGAAATGAAAAGAAGAATTCTAGGTTATGTACAGTGTCTACTTTGCGTTAGAATAATCAAAAACAATATTTGTATGGTTTGTATGAAATATATCAATCTCAGAACCTGCAATGCTATTCAGAAATGACATAAAAGGTTCATGACACTGATCAACAAGGAATAGAGTGGTTGTTGTGCGCTGCACTCTGTGCTGTGTTTGGTGAACTTTGTGGTGCAAACGGGTGCAAAACCCTCCGGAACATTTTGGGTGATCGAATTTTAGTGAAATTTCAAGTAATGAGTTAACCTTACAGTAAACGTATTTGCAAAAGAATTCGGAAATATTTCCGACACGCTAAACAATGAAAATGGGGAGTCGCGAAGAACACTTACCATGAATAAACTGAGATATTCATGTAAAGATGACGTCATAACCTCATGATAAACTCAACATCTCAAGGTCTGTTTTCAGCCAAGTAAATTTAACATACTGTTTTCTTAGTTCTCTATTGACAGCCGGAGGAGGCGGAGAATACAGTATCGTGTCTGAGTTTAGTGCGTGTTTTCGAGGACGAGTTGTGTACATGAGTGGATATTGTGATAAGAATCAGTATTGTCAAGTGCAGTATGGAATGTTAGGATTACATGTTTTAAATTATTCGTAAATCGGAATGTATACGGACTTAACATTGATTAAGGTAGAGGATCTAAATTTCGAGTTACTAGAAAGTTGTTTGTTAAGTTAATGTATTACTTAATTTTGCATTATATATTTACATTGGAGATGTTAATTTTGTCCATTGAATTTGTTTCATGTGATAGAATAGATTTGAGGAGAATGTTGTGAATAAGAAGAAATTATTAGTCATTGATTTTGTGATGTTATTGCAGGACACAATTACCCCTTCTAACTTGACTATAAGTGTACAAGAACTATGGGCAGTGTCAGGTGTGGTTTGGTCTCTGCAGGCAAGTTTGCTGTAGGTCGCATCAATACTTCCAACTACGGTAAGTTTAAAACTAGAATATTGTAAATATTGTCTAACTAAACCTTTTGTATGAAGAAAAATTGGAAGACATCAATGAGCATTAGAAAATATTGTTTGTTATTGATTGATCAATTAGTATATCAGCTTCTTTTAAAATTTAGTTTGTTATTCTCCTTTAGTTTCTTTCATATTGCAAGTTAAATTTTCTGCTTCACATGTTTACATTATCATGTAGAGATTATCATATATTGAAAATGTGTTATTTAAATATTTTTGTACTTCCTGGGTGTGTGTTGTTTTTTCTTCTTAAAATCAAATTCTGCATTCTTTTGTCAACACTACAATAATTGTTTACTTAATATTAATTCACTATCACTACCAAAGATAATTATTAAATTACGTTTTTAAAATCGTAAATTACTATAATTTATTATGGAATTCACATCGATAGTAATTTTCATAGTTATTCCGTTTTGTAATTGTCATCACATTAATTTTAATTGATTGCTTCAGAGACTCATAAAGTTTAGAAGAAGTCATTTTTGGAAATGTTTATTCCTTTAGTCTTAAGAGTATTATTTATATAAGAAAAAGTAAATTGGAAGAAATGAAAACTATTAATTACTACAATAGTGGCATCATAACTTATTTAATAACTGTCCATAACATAAAATATTTATTTTTGAAAATAGAAATGGTTTTGTGCTTCTCCAAATGGTAATGTCTTCAAGTTCTGTATAAAATTTTGAAAATACTTAATTTTTTTAGGCAGACTGAAAAAAAGAAAAACAGTAAGCAAAATAAAATTGTTTATTTGAAGAACCAATCCAGTTTTACTCTCCAAAAACAAGCCTATGTGTTTTCATCTTTAAACTATTACTTTTTATATCAAATTTTTGTTTCCAAATGCATTAAGAAAGAAAGTCAGACACAATAAAATAGGAGTAAGGAAATGGATAGTAAATGTGGTTAGTTTTTTATTAAACATTGGATAGTTTGGGTTCTAAAATAAAGTTCAATTCCTATTCCAGGCGTCTAAAATAAGCCCTTAAAATGTGAAATTAGACAACAATTTCTTAAAAAGGCAATTTACCATCTTCACACAAAAATATCAGTTCGCATAAATTTTATTTTACTTCAGACTGTTTTCGCAGCGATCCAACTGTTTTATTAAAATGACGAGTATAAAAAAAATAAGAGAACACAGAAATGGAATTGTTAACAGCTATCATATTTTGACTATAAATCTTACCACTTCACTTATGACTGGTAGTGTAACTATTCTTTAATGGTCTTTCTCTTTTGATCCAGAGAAGAGCTTGGGCTACCTGGAATTGTTTTTAAAAACCGATTTTGACTTCTAGGTGATTTTCTGCCTGAAAACACTATAATAGTTGTAGGAGTATATTTCCCAAGGTTTAAATTATACCAAACTGAAATTTTTAGACTTTCAGAAAGAAAAGAAAAAACAGGAATATTTACACCCAGAAATGTGTTTTTATAATTGTAGAGTCATGATATGTGTTCATAATTAATTTTTAACGCTTACGTCAAAAACAGTGAAGTAGGCTTTCGTTTAAAAATTGGATGACTCATTATTATATGAGAAACATTTTTTTGATTTGTTTAATACTCTTAAAAATATCGAAAAAATGTGAACATTGACCAACGAAAACCTCAATTGCTACTCCAGATTATGAGCAGAAAATCATGGACAACTACTGTAGAAAATTTGCACTATATCTTAATACAATATTTCAGACTTATTATTATTATTATTTAAGGTTAAATAAGTAATACACTTAACCTTAAATATTGCGTTATTTTCTAATTTTGAATGATTTCCTAAATTGATTGAGCAGAGAGGTGCTGACGTCATGAGCTCTTGCCTTAGGCCAGTAAAACAAGGACATTTAACTATTAAATTTTATGTTATAAAGTAATAAATTAGTAATTTTCCTGTATCTATTGAATGTTTTATTCCAGTAGTCATTAGGCCACGAATGCAGTGTAAACTAAGTAGATCAGCCCTAAACCCAACCACTCGAGTTGGCAGGACTGAGAGTGTGCCAAATTCGAGATTTGAGGACTCCCTAGGTCCTTCTTGCCTACGACATCGAATCTGTACTTCAGAAGTGGAAGGGTTACACCTTATCCACGGTGTAAGATATTTCGTACACCGTTCCCTTATCGACCCCCCTCCCCCCACCCCCGAAGTAGTATATATGTATTGGCGCGACGGCCCGTGAACGGGCTTTGAGGCCTACCGGCGACGTCCCTGCCTCGCGGCCACGGGTTAAGGGGTGTATAGTTAGCACGTAGACATCCCCAGAGCATATTCCAGTCTCTTCAACCTGAGATGTGAATTTTCTCATCGTCACACAGCTTCATATTCTGGGACTTTGCAAGAACAACGCTCTCTAAAATATTCTCTAACCGGGAATAGAACCCGGGGCCGCATAGTAGAAAGCTGACCAACAGCTAGCGACGAGGCCCCAAGAAGTAGTATCACTCCAAAACTCAACGAAGTAGAATGAGGTACGCCAACCTGCAAACAACCGGGCATAGTGGCTGTACATTAGGATACAAAGTAAGGTCTATAGTCCATGCAACGAATTTTTTTTTTTACAATTTATTATTACTGCAAAGTGTTCCCGCCTTTCGTTCCGCAATATTTAGGCGGTTTCGTCGAGTCCGTTAAGGGAGAAGACTCCGATTTTTTTAACGCCTTTCGTTCCGCAATATTTCAGCATTATCTTAGAGTCCGTTAAGGGAGGTTTTTTTTTTTTTAACTGAAGAGTGGGTCCCATTGCGATATTGGGTGCAGGCATCATGAACTTGCACACGCTAGACTGTTTCATGGTTCGCAAACGGCCTGCTTTTTGGCGCCGGAGCACCGACCCACTGCGCCAATATTTAAATCCGGGCCTGACACGAGGCGAGGGCCAGTTCCATTGCGCGCGCGCGCGAGAGAGAAGCATTGTTGGGAAACGCCCGCGGTGACGCGCGCCCCTGTCCCCTCTTGCGTCACGCGGCCGCGTGTTCGCGATCCCCCACCCCCTCCCCACCCTTTTCCTCCACGATCCAGCGTGGAATCTCCAGCTCCGGCGCGATAGCGGCCGCTTGACCCGCGAGAGGGCTGCTGTGCCGATAACACCGGCCCCCTCCCCTCTTCCCTCTCCCTTCTTCCGTCCATCTCGCGTACTTTTCTTCTCTCCTCCCTTCTGCCTCCGCCCGTTTCGCCCTGCCCCGTCTTCCGCTTTCGTTCTTCTTGCCCGTTCCCTCTCGTCCGTCCCTCGTCCGGCGCCACCTCTCCGCCCCTGCCCTCATCCTTTTCACCCGCTTGCTCAACGTGCTCTCTTCTGCTGCCGCCCCGCTTCGCTTCGCCCACTTTCAACCTTTTTTTTTCGTCAACGTTCCTTCTGCTTTTTTTCTCGTCCCCGCCTTTGCCCCCGCCCCACCTTCGCCCCGTCCGCTGTCGCTCACCTTCACCTTTTTTCGCCTCTCACCTTCCTTTCGCTAACGCCCCTCTGCCCGCCCCGTCCTCCGCCCTGCCTTACCACTTCTCGCTCCACCGGTTGTTTTTTCCTCCAGGCCGCCAAGCGTCCGGCGATTGCCGTCGAGTGTTGCTGATGTTGCCAATTGAGCCCTCCTTCGCCCGTCGTAGGGCCGGCGATCGAAATCGCCTGCCTGCACGTGCACCTCAGCTGACGACACTTGGACGCCGCGGAGTTTGTTTGTTGACGTTAATGCCACCCAACACCACCCTCTCCACCTCCTCAGGGCCGAATCGCGAGTTTGAGTTGCGACAGGATAAACATCTTGCGGTCGGTGAAACTTGGCATTAAGAGTTTGCGTTAATCAAGTACTTTGAAAACGTCTAGCGGTCTGTTCCACGTCACACAAGTAATACTATGTTTTGAAATGAGCTGTAATCGTACGAATGAAATTAGTTGGTTGTCAGTTCATGGTCACGCCAGTTCCGTAACCTAAGCATCAGCCGATTAGAAACTTGGGCTTTGGTCGGTGTTGTCGCTTCAAATTACGGAGCAAATAATTCGCGCGCCCCGTGTGTTGTAGTTAACCACCCAAGTGTCAATACAAGCGCCGTGAGTGATGTTAACAGTGTTAAGAGGACGTTGCGTGAGAAGAGCTTGCTTGGGAGTAGCGTGTTCTATTAGGTTTGTTGGTAGTAGTTGTAAAGGACAGAATAGAAATGTCTTCCCCCTTCCATAGCCTCTGACAACCACCTAATTGTATTGGTACATTCGTTCTTACAGTTTTCTTCTGCGCATGTGCTGTTTTGATTATTATTTAGCCTGGTTCAATTGAAAAACAATTTACATTCGATTCTTTTGAGTCTGTGCCCTAAAAATAGATGATCTTCCTTACAATCTTTATCAATTATAAAGTATGTCAAACTCAAAAATACTAACTGAACCATATGATATTAGAAATGTGTCATTGTATTAGTTTTTATCGAAGCTAAGTCTGAAACATAAGTGTCCGATTTTTGTGTAAATTTTAGCAATAACTTAGTTTTGCTGACGAGGTCCCACAAAATAATTTCCTCGAAGTAGTATCGGAAACGTTTCATTAATTTCGTACAACCTTTCTTTTATATGCTTTACTGAAAGCTGATGCATGGTGTAATTTTGAGGGTATTTTATGGTAACATTTTTGAACGTTGATAACCCAGTGATTATTCAATAATGCTGCGTTTGAATTATACAGCGATAAGATACACGAATTTACGAGAACATAGAAATTAACATACGCAGCTCAATGCACAGTCCTCATTTCTTGCTTGTTTTGTCGAATATGTTAGCAATCGAAGCCGTACAATATGTTTCATGTCAAGTGTTACCCAAAATAGCAGGTTATTGTGGGTGTAAATCATGGAGACGATAAAAAATGAGTAGTGTACGAAATAATGACGAGATTAATGTATCTGAAGCAA